CCCCCCCCACACCCACCCATTCCTATTGGGGTTTATCTCTGATGGTAGTTTGTCATTGTGGTTAGCCCTCTTGAATTGTGTTATGTTTTTCTATTTTTTGGTATATGAAACCCAGGATTGATGAAAATATAGAGACAACAAGTAGAATAAGGGTTCCTAAGAGGTATGTTGAAAATTGATTATAGTAGCAACTGTATAATACTTCTAGATGTGATTGAACTCTGGATGGTGTGGTATTTGTAAGAGTTCCTAATAAAATGGTTTTGAAAAAAGAAATCATTTGCAGGATCTCCACTTAGATTAGGCCTCTGGTGAATCCCTTCTGAGCATTGACCAGGGATATGAATAGCCTTGCTATCAGACAGAGTTGTGGGATCCAGTCCCAAATCTGGATGGGTCCGAAGGGGCAGTTGTGTAATTGAGGGGTAAATTAAAGAGCTATCAGACAAGGCATCCAAGGGCTCACCTCTTCTGATGGAGACCTGCGCCAGAGATAGAGGCAGTAATGCATTCTCTCACAAGCTTATGTAATCTCTGGCATCCAAGCCATGGTAAACACATAGGTAAACTGGAAGAGGTTATCTTAGAGGCATACAGGTAACATGAGGGGAATGAGCTAGGGATATACACGCAATAGGAATGGGAGGTAGTAGAGGCATACATGTGACAGGAAAGTACATACGCAACAAGATGGCAGGTTCTGGAGCTAAAATGGCCGCCTAATCTTGGTTGTCTCTGAGCTGGCTTGAGGTCAGATGCCCCTGAGCACTTCTCTAGGGGAACAATCCAAGATCCTATCAGAAGGGAGTGGGCCCTACTTAGGGTGGGATGGACAATAGGGTCTGATTGCTCTGGATGCCGATGCCTTCAAGCAGTTAACCTAAGAGTGTATATAGTAGCAACCATGTGATTGCAAGACGCACCTTAAGATTGGCAATATTATGCGGGACATCGTGGGGGAACAACTTTTGGAGAATGTGACTGGAGGCATCTCCAACCTGCAAACATGAAGGACTCCCTCCACGGAGCCCCACCTCCCAGACTCCTTAACGTAGGAGCGTAGAGAACTTGTCCCCTACACTCTTCCAGGTTCTGTTTCCTAGCGTGCCCTGGAGAGTAGACTAATGCAGATGTAATTAGGTTAAAATTTAACACCTTATCATTTGTTCTCCCCTTTGGCCCATTTAATATTTGTTCTAATTTGTATTCTTTTCTGTTATATTTTCAACGGAAGTCTTTCTACATTTAATTTTGTTATTGTTATTGCTTTTTTTGTTTTTGTATGTTTTTCTATATTTGACAGTAACTGGATTAATAGTTTCTTGGGGATATGGCAGGGCAGGGAAATGGGGAGCTAATAATAGTGCAAGGAAGAAGAAAATGTTCTAAAATGGATTGTATTGATGATTTTACAACTCGTTTAAATATGTTTAAACCATTGAACTGTGTAATATGCTAATTATATGTTAATAAAACTGTTAAACTTAGGGGAAAAAAAGACTTTGGAAACCCATAGAGGCCCTTCTCTACTTCCCTATAAGGACTCTGAATAAGAAATGACTCAAATGGCTGTAAGGTTTTTTGTTTGTTTGTTTGTTTTCCATTTTTAAATTGACAAATAACAGGATTGCAGATGACTTCTTACTACTTATGTAATTTTTTTTGCCGTGAGCATGTGTTATCAGTATAATTAGAGAGAATAAAAAACTATGTTTTTGTCCAAAAAATTGAAGTGAAGGCCAAGGGGAATCATAATTAGATTTTAGATTAGATACCACTCTGAGAGAAATTGATACACAACCAGTTCATCTCTTCCACTCATCGACAGTTGGCTCTTTCAACTGGTTTCCACAAAAGGACTTTGCATTTGTCTTTACAGAATCACCGTTCTCCCTTCTAACATCTTGCTTTGGAGAGACTGTTCAGTAAATAATGAATGCTGGCGTTTATTTGATGCTCTCACAGGGTAAGTAAGGATAACGCATGTGTGCCTTCAAAAGGGACTGAAAGCTAATGCTGTTTGCATCAAGACCACGTTAACGCAATGCTAGACAGTTGCTAAATCTTAAGTGACATTTCAATGGGAGGGTTACTGTCACCTCCTTGTGAATGGTACAATTGAGAATTATTGTAAGAATAATGGAGAGAATTGTAACACTTGGTGAAAGATACTTACTTTGACAATTGTGAAATAAAAGTTTGTTTCTACCTGGAAAACAAACAAACAAGAATGCTTGAAGCATTGTATAAGGTTGCCTTTATATGCTTTCCCCCAACTGTGAAAAAGAGGCCAACTCCCCGGCCTCAGAATTTCACTACTAGGCCCAAATGTATAGTTATTTCATTTTTTGGATGAGTTTAAAATTTTTAATTCTTCTTTAAAAAAATCATTTTATTGGGGGCTCATACAGCACTTATCACAATATATACATCCATCCATTGTATCAAGCACATTTATACATTTGTTGCCATCATTTTCAAAACATTTTCTTTCTACTTGAGCCTTTGGTATCAGCTCCTCATTTCTCCCCCTCTCTCCCCCACCCACTCTCCCTTATAAGCCTTTACTAATTTATAAATTATTATTATTTTGTCATGTCTTACACTAATCGATGTCTCCTTTCACCCATTTTTTTTAAACTTTTAAATTCTTATATTAAGGTTCAAGAATCCTGGTGGCCTTGTTTTGAACCCATCAATCACTTAGCAGGAGAAAGATGAGGCTGTCTGCTCCCATATAATATGTGAATTATATGTCAGTTAAACTGTTAAAATTAAAAATATGTATATTTTGAAGACTTGGGAAATCCACAGAAGCAGTTCCATGGTGTCCTCTATTATCCCTGGGAGTGAGATTGGACTTGATGGTTCTGAGTGAGTGATCGATCGTAAGGTACATAATCACAGATGCCAAGGAGCCTGAGTGCTTCTGAACCAAAAGGAGGCACTTTGAACCCGCCCATGGGTCCATGGGAGAAAGTCCTGGTATCTGTTCCCTTAAAGATTATAAGCCAGGAAGGCCTATGAGGCCATTTGAACAAGCCTTTCATGGAAGAAGTACAGCCAGAATGCTCCTCAGGAGTGAGACTCGCAGGATTTCATGTCAGCTACTTTGGGCTCTTGATCAGGAAGGGCCAGTCCCTAGAGGAGGACAATAGAGGTGGGGCCAGTGGAGAAGAGCAAAGATTACGAGGCCCATGAGGGGTGGGCAGTGTTTGCTTCAGGCGTGTAGAGAGCCATTGCGAGTGGACCGACCCCACGTCCCCTAAGAGCAGCAGCAGCAGCAACAAGCAATCTCATGAATCCGTGGCCATTGAATCCATCTAGACTCTGCGATCCTGTAGAACGGAGAACTACCCCAAGGGTTTCCTAGGATGTCAATCGTCACCGCAGAACAGGCATCCGCATCTTCGTGTCCTTGACCCGGCCGGCGGCCCGTGGTTGGTTCAAACGTGGGATCTTTTGCAATCAGCCCAGCGCGTAAGCCACTGCGACACCAGAGCGCCCCCACCCACACCCCCGCTTCAGCTATTAAAAATTTGCAATTGTCATCAGAACTTCCATTGCATGGCCAGTTTGGCTTGGGAAGACAGAAGCTCCATTGTGCGTCAGACTGACCTACGTGCGTAACTCAGCACCCCGTAGGATCCCCGTGCTCCGTTTGAGCACCCCGGGGCGGAGGCAGCTCGCCCTCAGGTGGGTGCAACGCAGACCGGCGTCCTCCAGAGTTCGCTGTGCTGCGCCCCGGACTGCGGGCGCTCTCGCCAACCTGGAGTGCCTGCTACACTTTGCAAGGACACCGAAGCGGGGGCACGTGAGCGCCCCGACTTCCTCCCGACCCCGCTTCCTGATTGGCTCCCGGGCGCAAAAGAAACCGGTGACCCAGCAGCGGCTGTGGGCAGAAACTTGCCGGAGGTCCTCGGGTGGCATCGCCCTCTGCAGCTCGCCAGCCGGCGGGCGGGCGGAAGCCGGAGAGATGAGGTCGTCCTGCGTCCTGCTCACTGCCCTGGTGGCGCTGGCCGCATACTATATCTACATCCCCCTGCCCGAGGCCATGGGGGACCCCTGGAAGCTCATGCTGCTGGACGCGACTTTCCGGGGCGCACAGCAAGTGGTGAGACGCGCGACCCCGCGCTCCCCCTGCCCGCCCCCTTAAGCCGTATTTGCCAGGGAGAGAAAATGCCCAGACCCAGAGGGCTTTTATTTGCTTTTATCCAGAGCTATGGGCGGTCGCATTTTTAAAGGTGGCTCTGTGGGCGTTTTCGGGGTGTCGCCTT